TTTGTGGAAGCAAGTTTTTTTAGTCATTCTTACTCATCAAAGGAAAGAAAAATTAAATAAACCCAATTCTACAAAATAAATTTTCACAAAACCCATATTGTCCTCTTATTGCATTGTTGTTTGTTGATTCAGAATGAGAGAAGCATGCATGTCGGACAGTCTGAAGTTACATAGTAACTAACCATTATAACCAAGAAATATATCAAGAATCCTAAATATGAGCGTTTTAAGTGTATCCTTGTGTCCTCCAATTTGGAATCCTAATGCATAGAGACATTCCCACACATGATACACAAGGCAGATAATCGAATCAAGTTACTTGGACTAAGTTCTGATTCAACTCGTATAGGGCTCGACTCGAACTCGGTACATTTGAACAATTTTTTAAGCTCGTTTATATATGAAATAGTAGAACTACTTGGGTTCAACTCGTTTTGAGCTTGGTTCGGCCTTGACTCATTAGTTTGATTTTAAAAGACTATATATACGATTTTTTTATCTTAGAAATAAAAGAGTTAAACTTTTCCATAAAAAAAATATACATATGTAGGCATATTATTATATTTACATATGAGATGTGCAATTTTTGATTGATGAAATTTTTTAAGCTTTTTGAACATCTTATTGAAAATATAATGATATCTATATGTATATATTATATATAATAAAATAGGAGTGTGTTTGAATTTTATCCCAGTCATATTTTTTCCCTTAAAACCATCATCAATCACTTACCTCTCCCATAATCCTTTTGTCAAACTCAAATGTCAAATCACATCATTTATTTCTATCACATGTTTAATCATTTATATATTTTCTTCCTAAAAATATCACATCACGTATTTCAATCATATATTTAATCATTTAATATTTGATTAATTTGTAATTAATATATTTAAAAAAAATTTAATATAGTGGAATCGATTTTTTAGACGCTCAAATTTTATATTTTATCGTGCCTTCAGGCACGGGTTATGACTAGTATATATATATTTTAAGGGTAATATAATCATTCAATTTTTTTTATAGAAACTGATTAAATAATTGAAAAAAGATGTTATAAATAATTTAGAAATTTAAAGATATAAGGATATGATAATAATTTAAATATTTAATTGAGAAAGAATTGAGTGACATTTGGAATCATTTATAAGGGTAAAATAGAAATTAAAAAGTTGGAATCCGGGAGGTTCGAAAAATTTGGAATAGACGTTTAGCTCATATAGCGGTTCGGAAAAGGTAAAATAGTAATTTTAGTGTTTCGGGTGTAAATTAACTTTAATTTTGAGATAAATCATAAAATTAAATATTTTTAGGTTAAAATAACATTAAAAATGAATTCGAAACGTCAAAAAACCTTTGGGTAGTCATATAGATCAAATTAGAATGTTTAATGGCAAAATCATAATTTCGGAGAAAAAATTGATTTTTCAGCTCATGAACAGTAGATTGACTATATACTATACTCATTATATATATATATTATCCTTCTGCCCGAAACACTTGCACCTCCTCGTGTGTTTTAATTTATGAGGGAAAATTAAACATTAGTTTAGACATATTACTACCTATTTATAACATTGAAGGTAATAATTGATATTTTTAATATTTAAAAATATAAATTTAGGAATTGAAGCATCTTTGAGGTTAGTCCTATATAGTAACTCTTTCTGAACTAGTACTACCGACAATGTCTGTTTCCACAGCATCCATGCACAAGATAGGAGCGGAATATGCCCGCTTAATTGTATTATTGCAGCTATTTAAACATATTTAACTTCCATATATACTTGCTTCAATACCCTCTAGAATAAGTTCTTATGATGGACCGCTAAATATTCAATACTGTATATCTACATTTATTTTTTTTATTTATCAAACACTATCTACATTTATTGAATAAGTTAATTCTATCCATCTATTAGATGAGTAAATTCCTATCTTCTTTTTTTTTTTTTGATCATGAGTAAATTCATATCTAATAAACCCATATCTTTGTTTAGTATTGACAGACTATACTCATTATGACTACCTGCCCGCCAATGATAAAACTCGGCAGGGCATGAATCCAACAGTATAAGTATAAGTATAATGCTGCTTGGTTCCGTATATACCAACAATTGGACCAAGTTCAACAGCCAGACTGTGAGAAATTATTAAGTGAAAATTTGACACTACGGCATTATTGTTTCGCGGTGTTACCGTTCAATAAGAGCTTGGGTGGCGGTGGTGGAACAGTTCTAAATACTATTTTTTTTTTAAAAGTATTTATGAGAAGTTAAAAATCTTAAAAATATTTTTAAAAAGTCACTCCAAATACATCTCTAGGGGTCTATTTTCTGTATTAAACTTGGAGAGTTAATATTAACCGTCAGATTAATTTTAAAATAAAATTTATAAAGATCTCAACCACAAAAAATAAAATTTATTTTATCTATCTTTTGAGATTTAAATTATATTATATCTTATTATATAAATTGTTGTTATCTTAAGTAAAAATATACCCAAACTCATACATTTGTTTTTTTTTTTTTTTTGTGAGTATATAGTTTCGAAAACCATTTTCTCGCAAAAAAAAAACAGAGAAGTATGAGAAAATAAATAAAAGAGGAAACAGACAGGAGTGCCCTGACTGGCTTGAGCAAGTATGAATGGATGATCCCATGCATCCATTAGCCGGAATCTCTTGGGAACTCGTTTTTGTCACCTTCCCCTCCCTCTCACCCCTATTAAGTCCTTGTCCCTTGACCACCCATCTTCTCAGGTAGCCCAAAAACCACACTTGACTTAACATAGTAACATGTCCACCACCACCTTCCTCCTTGGATTCTCTCAAACCGCCCGCGGCTCGGCCTCATGTTCTCCGGCAATTCAACCCTCCAAAGATTTCCGAGGTTACCTTCTGATAATTTCTTCTTTTATTTTATCTTCTTTGTAACCATTGATGTATAAATACACATATTCATATTGATTTCTTTCTTTGTTAATGTGAAAAGGAAGATATCCACTAATCTAAGTACACAGGAGGTTTCATGTTTTTTTGAAACTTTTCAATGTACCATCTCCGGGTATAAGCTGTCTTATGTACTGTTTGGTATTAGTTAATGGTTTGATATCAACAAGATTGATTCACTCAATATTCTTAGTGTTGTGCAAATTAAATTTATTATAAAATAACTTGATGTGAAGGAATGATTTACTTGTTCTCTCTCTCTCTCTCTCTCTGCTGCCTGTCTGTTTTTCTGTCTGTCTGTATCACCTTACAGCTTCTTGAGAACAGCACAGTAAAGAAAATTACTGGTGATTGTTTTTGGGTTTGAAAGGAAGTAACGAGACCTCTTGGCATGTGAACTTTCGTTCAACGAAAAATAAAATTCTCGCAAGACACTGGTTCATATTTTTTTTTTCCAATGGTGAAGGGTTTTTGGATTAGTTTACGTGTATCTTGATTAATTATTTTTTCGGTCTAAGTTAAAAGTAGGTCATTCACACCGAAACTTGTATATTTATGCCATATAAATCCCTAGTAACCTGGTTTCAAGATGTTGTAAAGATTGAAATTCAGAATATCTAAGATTATAGTTCGTTCCATTCTATTATTACTTTTCAAAGAATTAAATTGAATCTTATACCAAATGTGTTAAAGATTATTTATGTCACTCGCTGTAGGTTGCTGGTCTTCTGGGGCTCAAGCTCTTCGGGTGAATTCTGGGCTTCGACTACGATGCAATGCTTTATCCAAACCTCAAACCCAAGGTAGGTACACATGCAATTTACTAAATTTTTACAGAAGCAATAGTAATTTATACTTTATATTATATCTTTTATATCAACACTTACTGATAAATATGTTGTTTGTATGTATGTACAGAATACATTGATGTTCTTTTGAATGGTTTGCCATTAATAAAGTGGCCTGAGATTGTGGAGGATGACACAGAAGGAGAAACTCTCAATGTGGTTAGAACAGTACACTCTTTTTCTGCTTCTTTTGTCCTAATCGGCATCAATTCTCTTGTAAATACCAATTATGGTTGAGTTTGACGAAGATTTTATTTGTCTTAAGGTGTCTACATCAAGTAATAAGATTAAGGAACGTGTCGATTCAATCAGATCAATGTTGGCTTCCATGGATGACGGAGAGATAAGCATATCGGCATATGACACAGCATGGGTTGCTCTAGTAGAAGACATTAATGGAAGTGGTGTTCCGCAATTCCCAACCAGTCTTCAATGGATTGCAAATAATCAGCTTCCTGATGGTTCATGGGGTGACAGTGACATCTTTTCAGCTCATGATCGGATAATCAACACATTAGCTTGTGTAATTGCATTGAAATGGTGGAAAATTCATTCAGACAAGAGTGAAATAGGTGATTAGCTAGAAAGGAAAACACTGTTTTTTTCTGTTGTTTTAACTATAAATTTTATTAATTCGTAGGACTATTTATTGTTTACTGTGTAGGACTATTGTTTATTAAAGAGAATATATGTAAGCTTGAAGATGAAAATGCTGAGCACATGCCTATTGGGTTTGAAGTGGCATTCCCTTCGCTTATTGAAATTGCTCGAAAGTTGGACATTGAAATTCCAGATTCTCCCATTTTGCAAGAAATCTATGCCAGGAGAAACCTTAAGCTCACAAGGTACTTTCACATCTCAAACTATATACAGAGCCATTATTATGTTTTTTGCAAGCAATCAAAAGTGGTAACAATTACGTATCGTAAATTTAGATATTCAAAATTTGAATTTTGACAATCTTCTAAGACTAGACCATGAATACTCTAGTTCTGCTATAGATGACTTGTTTTTTTACCAAATTAGGAAGAGAATTAGTTAAAATGTGAGTAAACTGACTCAAACACCAACAAAAAAAAAATTGATGAAAAGTGGTTTCATAGATCCACATTTGGATAGTGCAATAAAGTTACTTTGGAGCACGATCCGAAAAATAAAAGAAGACAAATTATGGGCAACAAGAACAAATCTCATACATAGAAGAAGAGCTCATTATAGCTACTCGACAAAACAAAGATAATATCTCTTAATTAGTATTTGAACATAAAGATTTTGCAACGACAAAATCTTGCGCACTGAATACATCATTTAAAAGAATGGATGAGTTGTGAAGCCATGATTATGTTAGCTGCTTTACACCATAGAAGGAGAGGATAAAAGAAGTAAAAGTAACCTTATCTGTCAAATATTTTTTTGGGAAAATATAGGTCCCCAAAGATAAAACCCCTTTAAATGTATGTAATAATGATGTGTGTCTGCAATAGGATACCAAAGGACATAATGCACACAGTGCCCACCACGCTACTTCATAGCTTGGAAGGAATGGCAGAGTTGGAGTGGGAAAAGCTACTAACATTGCAATGCCCAGATGGGTCATTCTTGTTTTCTCCATCCTCCACTGCCTTTGCACTCATGGAAACTAAAGATGATAATTGCCTCGGATATCTTAGAAGAGCTGTTGAAAAGTTCAATGGGGGAGGTACGTAGTAAAGTGCTTTTTTATCCTTCCATACAAAACTTGAAAGTCAAACTTTCTGGGAAAAAAAGCTTGGAACTTTCTGTCAAAACTTGAAGGTTACTTTCACTTTTTAAATGGGTCTAATTATGTGTTGTAATTCTGTCTCTCAGTTCCAAATGTTTACCCAGTGGATTTATTTGAGCATATTTGGGTCGTTGATCGGCTACAACGCCTCGGAATTTCACGGTATTTTCAGTCGGAAATTAGAGAATGTATTGATTACGTCCACAGGTAAATTCAAAAATCCATGAGACATTCTAAAATCAAAGCATTACGAAAAAAACAAATGATTTCATGGAAAAATCCTCTGTAACATATAACTTTGTTTTTCAATCAATTAAAATGTGACACGGGTAAAGTTCAATTTTTTTTTTTTTGTATGGTACCAAAAAAACTTTTTTGAAAGTCGATAGTGCAATCTTCTTTGTAGCATAGACTTTAGTCTTTGACTACGGTACCGAAAAAGGGAATTTTGGTATCATATCAAAATTTACTATATTATGGGTACTTTTAATATATTGTTATAGGTGTTTTTATCACTGTAATTCAAAAAAAATGATAAAAACATACACAATAATGGTAAACAAACCCTCAAATGGTAAATTACCCAAAAAAATTGTAAATTTTTTAGTTGTAAAATGATCCATAAAAATTATAAAAACACCCTTTAAAGTAATAAATTTTTGAGGTATGGTACTGAATTTTCTTTTATCAGTTCCATAGTTAAGTCCTGGAGTTTATAGAAGTATATTTATATCCTGACAAGTATCCAAAATTTTCAGATATTGGACAGAAGAAGGAATCTGTTGGGCTAGAAATTCAAGAGTTCATGATATAGATGACACTGCCATGGGTTTTAGGCTTTTAAGATTGCATGGCTACAAGGTTTCCGCAGGTTAGAAGACAATTTACTGCACAATCACTCTTAGGAAATACTTAGAGAAAAGGACAAAACACAAAAACAAAACAGAAGAAGACATTATTTTTTATTTTCTGTAATTTGTTACTGACAGATGTGTTTCAACATTTCGAGAGTGGTGGCGAGTTCTTCTGCTTCGCTGGACAGTCAAACCAAGCTGTTACAGGAATGTATAACCTTTATAGGGCTTCTCAAATGGTGTTTCCAGGAGAGAAGATACTGGAGAATGCCAAGACGTTTTCATCTAAATTCCTAAGGGACAAACGAGCCAACAATGAACTCCTGGATAAGTGGATTATAACCAAGGACTTACCTGGAGAGGTACTTAGTACTTACATTAAATGATAATTATGAATTTATTTCTTTTTTTTTTAAATACAAAATACTTATACTATTGACTTATTTTTTTATATCGTATCGAAAATTCTTAAAAATAATAGTGAGGGTTATGACTTATGACTTCACTTTAGTAAAATAGGAAAAATGGGGGCATTTTTGGATAAACCCTATACTTTAAAATCAATCATAACTTTGGGCCAGCCACCCTTGTTTGGAACATGTCTTTAAACTAACTCGAATTACAGTGACTGATTCAGAGTTCGAGGGAGTAGTCGAAGCAAGTTTAGACACTTTGTAACAAAAAAATAACAATAACTTAACCAAAATTAAATTATAAACTCATCAGCTTGAATGGGAAACTCATCTGAATAGGCCAAATGTTGGGAATTTATTCATCAAGCCGGCTGGATAAATTATAATTTGGAGAAAGAAAACTGACATAAGCAATTAGATTGTTTTTTTTTTTTTTCCATGCGTTTCTTTCTGAGAGATGCTTCAACAGAAAGTAACTTCATCACCATGGCCATGCGAACTGCCTTGAAGTAACATCCCTCTCTCTCTCTCTCTCTCCCTCTCTTTTGTCAGTAGGTTGCTGTAGAGGAAGCTTTAACTTAATCATTGTCCCAAAGCCCGGCATATAGATTAGGATTGCAAATATGATATGATAAGTGCACACGTCGACACAATTAATCTAATATTAAATACAATGAAAAATGATTAAGTTTGTCGTTACTTTCATCCAATAATATGCTATACAATAAAGTATGCAAAATCGATTCTTGTAATATAATATTTATAACATATGAATCATTAATTGTTATCATAAAATCATGTTGTATAGAACAAAGCAACATAATTATGATGCTTTTTATCATCATTGTTTGCTCTTTTACTTCAACTTTCCAGAATAATTATGATATTTAGTTTAGTCTTGTGTCTAAAATTTTAAGGGTAATTTAAGTCAAAGATAAGAATGAGTTGTAAATTCAGACGTTATGAATTTGAATCTTTACAATCTTTTGGGATCAGGTCACGAGAGATTTATCTCTTATGAATACCTTAGTCCCAGCATAAATGGCTTGTCTTTAACTAGACTAGACTAGGGTGAAGATTAGTTGAGATTTGTATAAATTAATCCAGACACCCTAACCTTTGAACCCCCCAAAAAAAATTTAGTGCCTACAGAAAGATGTTGGTTACAAATTAATTTGGATCAAGTTACAATTTAAAAAGATTAGTTACGATACAATCGAAATCCTGTTACCATGAAAAAAAATTGAGATCATTCCCAAAAAATACAATGGTCAATCGCAGCATGATCCTAATCTCTAATGATCTTATTTTGTCATAATCTCATCGATTGATTTATAACCTCGATTTCTCTCTTATTTTATTTGTATTCACTTTAATTTTAAATTGTATAAATAAAAAAATTTAAAAAAATTTATTATTTATAATTTTTAATGTGGATGTATTAAAAAAAATATCAAACAACTTGTTTGAAGAGTATGTGTTGGACACGACACCTCTAGTTTAAAAGTAGCGATACTTTTTAGTTCCTAAGTACTTGTTTTTAATCCTGACCAAAAAGGTCAAAAACAAAAAGTTTTTATTGTTAATTTAATATTTTAAATTTTAATTAGCTAAACAACAACAGGTGGGGTATGCCCTAGATGTCCCATGGTGCGCCAGCCTACCTCGTGTCGAGACAAGGTTCTACTTAGAGCATTATGGTGGTGACGACGACGTTTGGATTGGCAAAACCTTATACAGGTATTTTTTTTATTTCTTTTTATATTTTTTTTGTCACAAAGGGCAGAGATATTATTTTTCTATTTTTTTTTCACATTTTTTTATGCTAAAGAAATTTTAGTGACGACAAAGAAATTTGATCATAATAAGAGAAAAATAACACGAAAATTAGATGATCAAAAAGTGATAGAATATTTATAAACTCGGAGGGATAGTTCAAGTGGTTATAGAGTACGCATAAGTTAGCAAGACACCCCTTAAATCGGAAATATTGATTCTCGTACTTAACCTTGTGATGTATCATATGTCTTTCACTTGATATAGATGCTAATTTATGTTGTTTTGTTCACTGTATATTCCCAGGATGCCTTACGTTAACAATAACATCTATCTTGAGCTTGCAAAATCGGACTACAATAACTGCCAAGCATTGCATCATCTGGAATGGAACCGCATGCAAAAGTAAGTTATTCAAACCTCCTTTCATTAGGGCCGATAATCGAGTCGAGTTATTCGAACTTGACTTGAATTTGGTTCATTTTGGATTCAGCTCATTTTTTAAATGAGTTAAACTTGTATAATTTTTTAGGCTCGTTTAGAAAAATAATTGAACTTGTAAAACTCGGCTCGATTATATGTAAAATAATCGAACTACTCGGATTTGACTCAAGTTCCAATGAGTTTGAAGTTGAACATTTTTTTAGATTCGTTTAGAAATATGAGTTTGACAAACTTGACTCAATTATCAATCTTATTTCCATCTTAGTCACACACACTCATTCGTATATATGCGCATACGTGTATATATATATATATACACTAGATTCTGTGTTACATGCAATGCGTGAACAGTTAACAATTGAAAGAGGCATGGGTGAAACTAGAATCTAAATAGAATGTGAGTTTTGCATATTGACGAGTCTTATCAACAAATTACGGAAAAATAGAAGATCTATGTGAGAAAACTTTCCCGTTGAAATCGCCACTAAGTATATTGTTTCATGCTATATCCTATGCAGATGGTATGTAGAAAGCAAACTTGGACAGTATGGGATGAGCAAAACAAGCCTTCTCTACGCATATTATTTGGCCACAGCAAATGTGTTTGAGCCAGAAAGCGCCAATGTGAGACTTGCTTGGGCTAAGACCACAGCTCTGGTTGCCTCAATCATGTCTTACTTTGACAGGGAACACAACTCCAAGGAGCAGAGGATGGCCTTCGTGCAGTATTTCAGAAATAGCGAGAGTACCCCAGGTTATGCAAATAATGGAAGGTATTATGCTCGCAGTTTTTTTTTTTTGCTCATTAAAAAGGGGAAAAGACAACCAATAGGTAGTAACTCTCTTAGACGTAACCATGAGGCTCTCTTTTATTATAGAATGTCTTGTTTGAGTTATCATTACTAATTTGAAGGGACAGACTGTCACCATTAAAGTCAATCAACAAATCGTTGCTCCCGTGAATCAACCCAACATGACAACCACATAAAAGTCAAAAACGATCATAAACGGGTGCGGCTTACCACTAGACTATCAATTCGGGTGGTTCATCAACCTTGATGCTTGCGGTTAAGGTTGCTAATTTTTGACTCAATATGATGTAAACTCGACAGTAATGTAGTGGGTTACAACTTACAAATGACTTTTTAATTCAAAGCTGAAAATGATGCGACGTACATGAAAAACCCGAATACCCGATAAACAGTGGTTTTTATTGGTCTGCCAGAAGACTAGTCAAGTACTTTAACGTAGATAATCAGGGTGTTTTTTTACAGGTACCAAACAGGACATGGGCTTGTCCAGACTCTGCTATCTGCTTTACAACAGTTCTCTCTGGACGCACTGGTGGCGCACGGTAGAGACATTCACCACCGATTGCATCAGGCTGTGAGTACTTCTCTAGTGTTTTTTTTTATTCTTCATATTGAATAATCAATTCCAGTCCAGTCCAACTGGTACAAATTCAGAGTCAGTTTTCTGATTCCAATGTGTTTTTTTTTTTTTTACTATGGGAGATAGTGGGAAATGTGGCTGCTGAAGTGGGAAGAGAAAGGTGATGTGTACCAAGTGGAAGCAGAGCTCCTAGTGCGCACTATAAATCTGTGCGCCGGCCGCTGGATATCGGAAGAGCTATTGTCCCATCCTGAGTACCAGTGCCTCTCGGATACCACCAATAGAGTCTGCCACCAACTTCGTCAATATCAACCCAATAAGGTTAGTACTCATAACGAGAGTCTCGTGCACTAAATCGTTCTTTACACTTATAGAAAACGATGGGTCTAAGGGTCCAAATGTTTATTAAGAGTCTTTCCGATATATTGGCAACCCTTATAATTTGCCTAGGTTGATCATCAGGATCATGGAATGGACAACTCTGGCAGCATGGCAACAATCCAGATAGAATCAGACATGCAAAAACTGGTGGAACTAGTGCTGTGCAACTCATCAGATAATGGTCTCAATCCTGATATCAAGCAAACATTTCTTACATTAGCAAAGACTTTTTACTATACTACCCTTTGTAGCCCTGCAACTATCAATCTACATATTGCCAAGATACTCTTTGAAAGAGTACTTTGACTCTAGAAAAGTGAAATTATTGTTGTTAATATAATAATTTGCTTTCAGAGTAACTTCTATATTCAATTACTTCTTTGATTGTTGGTGTGAAAATTCTGTGACAGACGAAAAAGACGAAAAGAAAACATACACAAAACATCTCTCGAGGGGAAAAGCTGAAATGATGGGCACAAATAACATATGAACAAGTATGATAAAACGACAAGCCAGCCATTCATTCTCTCTAGGACCCAAGACTCAAAGCACGATTGAATGGTCATAAAGATTGATGTGGAGAGGCTTGCACCAATTTAGTTAGTGGACATATATGGCGAACCACACTAAGTTGTTTTGCCTATAGCTGTTTGATGGGACACTTTGAAAAGTCGGTCAATAGTAGACACGTGTCCTCAGCATAAGGGATATGGAGGCACATAAAATTGACATGCATCCACGGCATTTCAACCCCCGAATTGCTGGAATCGTGACACGTGTCCTCGGCACCAGTGTTCCTCGGAGCATTGGATTCCTGACACGTGTCCTCGACTCCAGTGTCTCTCGAAATACTGGAATTGTGCCATGTGTCCTTGGCACCACGGTCCCTCGGGGTTCTAGAATGGTGACACATGTCCTCGGGAACAGAGTCCCTTGTTGTACTCAAAGTGTGACACATGTTCTCAGCATGAAGATTGACTCCAATGTCCAATTCTAGACACATCACCTCGACTTCAGTACCGTCACCTCGGCTCCAGTACCCTGAGGCAGAGATGTCAGAATGACAAGTATTGTTACTTAAAGTTAAACTTGGTCAATAATTATTGACTTCTCTTCCCAAAGCAGTCAGAATGACAGAGGAACTAACTCACACCTAGTGACAACGTTACATGTGGTAGAGGGCACAGAATCAGGGACCAAAAGACAAAGATGCCCCTGTTCGCGCGTAGCTATCACAGGAAGGCATTTAATGATCCCTCAGAAGGATGAGACATATTTATTACTTAGAGATTCCAAAAGGAATAGCATTAAATGCTCGGGAGCTCGAGCCGTTAATGCTCATAGTCCTCTCACGCAAAGCAAGAGGCACTCTGCTCAAGGACTGAGCACCACCGCCTATTGCCTACCAAATGGGCCAATGGGAGACTTCTCCCTTGAGAAGGCTCACTTATCTACAATGATTACTTTCATAAAGATATAAATAGCTTTCACAAACAAAGAGCAAATGTACACAAACCACATTTTCAACAATACAACAGTGTTTTCTCCCTTCTCTCACACGTACTGACTAGACCGTTGGAAGGATTATGTCAAAAAACACTCCGGCCCCCTTCTAACCCTATTTTATTAGTGACAAATTCCTTCTTCACTTGTCGGAATATCGCGGACAATTGGAAAAATAATTCATCACCACTCCTTAACATCTTTCTCGTTCCTTGTTGCCCCAGAACCCTCAACCTTCAGGTAAATCTTGTGTTCATCAAAGAAGAGATATGTTATAATTTTTTATTCTGTGAAAATCATCGTGCACCCTGTTAATTGAGTTGAGTTTTGCAAGTTCTTTTTTTTAAACAGGTCTAAACAATTGTTCAAACTCAACTCGTTTAAAAAGTGAGTCATCCTGAATAGCTCGACTATTTTACAAATAAATGAGTCAAACTTTGTAAGTTCGAACCCTTTAAAATACAAGTTAAATTTGAGTCGAGTACTCAGGCAGAACTCGAATAATTCGACTCAATTATTATAGCTGTTTAGTATAGCAGATCCTCCTCCTACATGTACTTGAAAAGGCCAGCAAAATCATCAGAACACATCAACGTGGAGCTTCACCAAATCCCACCCATTGAGATTTGGTTGCCCAAAAATCAATTAATCCAAACAAAGGGAAATCGAATGGAAATCTTATGTTATGTTTGGCATCATAGTACCTTATAAAACTAGCTGTTAATCAAAGTTTACCTTTACTATGAGTGGCCAAGACCCAACCTTGACAAGTCATGCACACTTTGTCGCCAACATTATCTCTCTGTCATGATTGGATAGAATCGCCACCCATATCTACTAAAATATTGTGTCATATTGAATTCGTGTTTTGATTAACGACTAAGGTCTCTTATCTCTTTCATGTTAAGAGGGGAACCCGCAAATGGCGTGGAACCCCACCTCTGCATATGGTTGTGGGGCCTAGTCTAATACTGTCAAGGGATCTCTAATCATAGCTGAACAACTTTTGCCTTTGATTAATCAACTTGCCTATGATACCAAAAATCAAATTCCTAATATTAGTCTGAAATTTATTATATTTGTCGGTAACTTTATTATTGTTATACTGTTTTTATAACTGATGTGGTACTAAAAAAAAATTATAAAAATAATTACCTCAACAGTAATAAAAACACTCGCAACAGTGATATAAAAACCCATAAAAGTGATAAATTTTTTTGTACTAAAAAAAATGATAAAAATAATTATCACAACAATATTAAAAACATTCATAATAATGATAAAAATATCCACAAAAATAATAAATCAACCACACAAAATGATAAATTTTTTAGTTATAAAATAACCTATAAAAATTATACAAACACCATTTGAAATAGTAATTTTTGAAATTATAGTACCAAATTTTTTTTGGCGGTACAGTAGGCAAAACCTTGATTTTTTATGCCCACAATCCCTAGTGCCTACTCCTATATAGTGAGGACAGATCTCCCAATTCAGTTTTTTTTCTTTTTTTAAACAAAGAACGAGAGAATATCATTAAGCTACGTAGGAAAATTCAAATTACAGTCAGACAAAATAGAAAGCCTTAAGCTCGGGAGGAAAGAGCCTAATCAATCCAGCGGTAATGAATTAGTTAGTTTAGAAACTGCCACCCAGTAAACAACCCTATTACAGGCTCTGGACTTGTGTAAAAAACTAAGGTTATACAACCTAGCAAAAAATCTAATATCATCCATTATGGCCCTAATCTCCCAAGGGGTAGCATTCTTTTGGAGCATCTTCCCAATTCAGTTGAATGCACAAATAAATGCAGGATTTGACTATGGTCCATTCAAAAGCATTTCAGTACCATACCTCCAAAATTTATTACTTCAAAGATTATTTTTATTAAGAGTGTTCAAATTTTCGATTATACAAAAATTCTAATCCTACCCTACCCGACTTTACTGATCGGCTACCCGAAATAATTGGATAGGGTAACAAAATTTTTTTTGATGTTCCACAAAAAATCGGATAAAAATATGAAAAGCTTAAAAAATTTTCCCATAGTCAAGTCCACAAATGCAAACCAAAAAAATCAAGCAGTACACTGACAACTCAACAACCCCAGCCCGACCACCCACCCACCCCCCAAAAA